ATTTGTTTCCGTAAACCTAATATGCACTATATCAGCATATTACGGAGCCAATTTTAATCCGTTCTTACCTTTGATGTTAATGTTCTTGCCCTTGGCATCTGCTAAGTTACAACCATCACATATTTGAATTATTATCTTATTAATTCGGCGTTGCATTTAAATGATATGGTGTCGTAGCAATAATATGGAAACAAGACAGAATTTTTGAATTTACTGCCTAGAAAACTCAATCAGTCAAAAACTTTTTGACTGATTGATTCCAATTTTTTAACTGAAATTTGAAATGAAGTAAAAGATCTGAAAATACCCTCCTTTAACAATTTGTGTGGTTATTGAATGTAATATGCATCCATTGCTTAAATGCTGGAAATGTATTGTGTAGATTTGTAACACTACGCGTCAGAATTTGATCATTGCCGCAGTATCATGTCGTTTCATTTTATAAAGCTGCATTAGACTAATCTCGGATGAGATTAAATTGGATGAAATGTTTCTTATTTTTTTAGTTGTGAAGATTACAGATATATACGAAGTTTCCAAATAATGTGGTCTTTGATATCGAAAATATTAATATTAAAGTTTGAGATTAACTCTTCTCTAAATTTATTTATGTTCCTTGTGTAATACTTTATATTCAGTCAATCATTTTTTCATTAACTTCACGTAAATGAAATGAAAGGCGGCAGTAAAATTTATAACAGAAACGTTTATTAGGTGTTTATTTCTTATTTGTAATCAAAAGTTTTAAAAAGACAAATTAGGGATGCTAGTCAGTAATAAACCCACTTTTTCTTCTTTCGTTCTTATTGCAAATTGGGATGATAAAGTGGGTAAGAATGTGCGTGATGATCTAGTTTTAATGTGGATGACTTTGGATATTCATGCATTCGAGTCTAAGTTAGCTGTTAAGTTATAAGGATTTCAAATACGCGTTATATAAGAAACCGCGAAAAAATACGTGTAAAAATGTGTGGAATGTGTTTGTTTCAACAGTTTTACTGTCAAAAAGGTCGTCAATAATATATGCAAACAGTGCGACAAATATTCAGCTAGTTCTTTTAGAACATGAAAGTAACGATTTTGATGGAGTGAATCAATGATTGATCATCACATGATTATAAAAAAAGAGAAATCTCGAATTAAAACAAATTCTCCCTGACTAGTGACAAAATCTAAACTAGTAATACTTTAACATACTGAAAATACATATATTAAAAGTAATCTTTCATAAATATTTCATAAACAATCAAAGATTGGTAGAAAACATTTCCTTCCAAGAATTAACGATGATTATTTTTGCACAAATAAACAGATCAACTGTCCAAACATAATCGAATAGTTGTATAAAATGATGACCTGAAAGTAAATCTCATTTTTCACTTGATTTCAGACAATAACAAAAGATCATGGCGGTATTTGTTTCAAATGCAGCTTTGAATCGTAGTAGTTCTAGTATGGTGTACTGGCCGGGAGGTAGCCTTCTGTTGATGAATTCATCCTTTGGTGGAACTGAAATCGTTCATTGGTTAATAAGACTCATCTCGTATATTTTCATGCGATGTAATCTACATGTATCCTCCAGCTGTTCTTGAAAGCATTTTTCTATGGAGAAGCATCAAAAAGGAAGTAAACTAATACGGGATTTTGAAATAATCGTTTGCTATTTCGCAACATGATGGAACCTTTGTGAGACCATGATTTATAAAATATATGCGTTCTTTGCAAATAATAATATGCTGTTAAAACTGAGTGGTTCGTTAGTAATATTGTATGTTACGGATAACATTTAAAAACTTATTAGGTATCATATTTCAGGGCACAGCAGTTGTAAATGGAGATTTTAAAACAATTAGTATGAAAGATTACAAAGGAAAATGGCTTATCCTGTTTTTTTATCCTCTTGACTTGTTAGTTAACCTTCTGTCTATCCTCCAAAATTTCTCAGTTTTCCTTGGCGACTTCCTGGATTTCGTGAAGATTGCTATTACAGCCAGTGCACTGGTACAGTTGCATTGCTACAATGATTTATTGTATATTGATAATGATTTGTTTGTTAATTTATTAATTTTTAACCTTGGTCTTGAAATTGATGTTAGTTTCAGTACCTTCGTTTGTCCAACCGAAATTACTGCCTTTAGCGATCGATGTGCGGAGTTTCAGAAATTAAACACAGAATTGATTGCATGTTCGTGCGATTCACATTTCTCACATCTAGCATGGATTCAAACCCCACGTAGTGAAGGTGGTCTCGGTGACATGAAGGTTCCCGGTATTTATAAATTTTTACAAGTTTTGGTAATATTCCAGTTTTAATTTCAATACTCTTAAATAGGCTGGAAAGTTTCCTTGCAAATTCCAGTGCTTGCAGACTTTAATAAAGATATAGCGAATGCATTCGGTGTCCTTGATCATGAAACAGGTATCTCATATAGGTAAGATGCCATATCTTGACACTTCGTCTAGGATATTTTAGAGTTTTTTTTTTACAATTTCAAATGTGTTGTCTCTTAAACAAAATTGAGGATGTATCTCTTTTAGTTATTAATTCTTCTAGTTCTTTTCAGAGGTTTGTTCTTAATCGATCCAAGTGGTGAAATCCGTCATTCTCTCGTGAATGATCTTTCGGTTGGTCGTAGTGTGGATGAAGCATTTCGTACGCTAAAAGCCTTTCAGTTTGTGGAGAAACATGGTGAAGTATGTCCGGCAAACTGGTCCGATGATAAGCCAACAATTAAGCCCGGCATCAAGGAGTCCAAGGAGTATTTCAAAAGGTCGATGGTCATACATAAAAAATCCAGTATCACCTAAAAATGATTTATTTGGACGACGTGAAGTTCTTTTTTTTCGTTTTGAATAACAGAGTTTTTTGTTCCTGTTTATGTTAAGGTTATAATTTAGTTGCTTTTTGTAGTTATATGTATGCGATTTATTCTAAATAATAAATATCTGAGAAAGGCTAATATCTGTTAAGTCGCAGAATTCAAACACTACACGGCTGAATTAGTTTGGAGAAAGCACGTTTTTCGATGCATAATCTGGTTCCTACATGAATCATGCTTGTTTTGAGTGAACTGCACTGGTATTTGGTTTAAAACCTGTAAGAATAACACATCAATTATATCACCAACTAAGGTGTAGGTAGCTTCACATAAGGATAGGAAGATGTATTTCGAGTTTTAAAGTGGAATTGTTATCTTTTTATATGAGTTGCTCATTCAATATGGCAGACAGGGAAGTGATTGTATTCACACACAAATAATGGGAGGAAGAAGTTGTGGTAATTCCCGGATTAAAACAGGATGTAGGAAACAAAAGAGAGGAGGGCTCTGTGTTGAAAGCTGTTTGCAGGAGCGAAATTGTGATTGTAAAGAGATGTAACAGCATGAAATGTGGTGTCCAGTTAGCCAATTATGCTCGAAATCACCAGTCATTTTCGCCTTTGATGGCGCCAAATCTTAAGATATTGTAAAATACATAAGTACATTATTCTTTGCTGATAACTGTGATTGAAATGTACCCAATGCATGGTGCATAAAAAATGACGGAACCAAAAACAATGAAAAGTGTCTTGAGCCGTATAAATTTTATTCGAGGGGTGTCAATGCCAACACCCCAAATGTTTTTATTCTTTAAGATCAAAGAACATATGTCGTCGTCGTCTAGCAACTGGTCAGATTTCTGCTGGAAAATCCAACAGTTTTCAACATCCACCAAAGACTTCCCAACATAAATCCATTTGAGAAGTCAAATTGATCTGAAGAGTCAAGAAATATACCATGTTTTGAATAACTGGTCCGAATCAAGAAATATACCCATATTTTGAACTCTTCTACAGTTGCTATCCTTTCAAGTATTTTGTAAATCATTTATAATTCACACTCAACTATCTGCTGTTCAGTCGGTTCTCATTAAAAACCGACCACACTCAAACTATTTAATGTATAAATTTGTATACATTTTGAAGATGGTAATGTTGTCGAGAAATTGTAAATTCTTGTTAGTTCGTTTGATTTGAAGTTTGTGTAAACAAATGTGTTGAGAAGGAGTCTGTTCTGATGACTTTATTCGCTATACGCAAGTATTAATCTATAGCAACAATATACTGATAACCTCGTAGAATTTGAAAGTCTACGAATGTGAGGTGAACAAGAAGAAATAAACTGAGGGAAAACCTAAGATTTAAATAAATCAAATTAAATGAGCGTAAAAGATCAGCAGATTTGTAACTTGCTGGTACGAAAAAAATGAATAAAATAAAGAATTTAAATCCATATATCGTAGGCAAATTGATTTGCAACAAGTGTTAAAGAGCTATCAGATGATCATTACTCTTATGTAATAAGAGTTGGATTTTATTATTGTCAGTTGCTCATAAGAATGATTATTAGATTAAAAAACCTCTGCAGTATTTCGACATTGCAGGAAAATTTGGCTTAGAACAAAGATGTAAATTTTAACATATTAAACAATGCACATGCCCTTTGTTAACAGTTGAAAAATTCTATACAAGCAGGTAAGTTCAGTTACAACGGGAAGATGAGTTTGCATAAATGATTGCTTACATGAGATGCAATTTGAAACAGTTTCAATTCTTGTTTCTTTTGTATAGCAGATGCAGTGAGAATTTCTTTGAAGTTTTATATTTTTTTAAAAAATGTTCATTTAAAATAAATTCTAGTGTTATGAATTAATAAAATTTTATTTGATATGTTTTGAAAGTTATTTGGAGGTTTGCGAGACTTGTTTCGAATTTCGCGACAATGCATGAATAGAATGACATGTATTAAAAGGCATGAATCAGTACATCGACAATCAGGCTAATTCTTTTGTGTAATAGATCTGATGAGAATTTCTTTGAAGTTCCTATATGAAGCGTAAGGAATTTGATTAGTCAAATACTCTTTCCTCATCCTCATTCTTGGTCATCTTTCCTGAACCAGTTTGCCATTTCAGTGGATCACTTGTCAGTGTTCATTGGAAAACAATAGGCACGAAATGGAATGGAGCTAGATAATCATTTGGTATGGCTATTGATGATACCTACATTAGCTTCAATTCAACAAAATGAAGCTGATTTGCTCTATTCCATTTTTAAACAATTCCATCTTAAAATTCAACATCACTTTGCTCGGCTCATTCGATCTTCTGAGAATGGCACAATGCTTCTTATTTCTCAAAAATCATGGAAAAGGATTTCCTTTCTTAATACAGTAGCCACAACCAACAGTAATTCCGGATTAATGGGCTAGAAAAAAATATGAACGTTTCTGATTCTACTAACTTTTTTAGTCATTTCGCGACATTGCAGTACTAGTTCCTTATAAAAAAATGAAAAGCTAAATTCACTTCAGTGCAACTAATTTCACTGGAAAAAATTATGAATTTTTCTAAAAATGTTTAAACAACTTTCTTGAATAATTATCCATCGATCGCTTTCAAGACCCCAAAAGCAAAGGGAATCATTTTTAAAATTAAGGAACAGCATGCTATTGCAAATAATACGTCCTTTGCAATGATCGAAAAATGAAGTTGTTTTACTCCCAATGATTAGCAGATCTACTGGTAGCTCTGCTGATTGAATCTCCACTCTTAAATTAAATTGGAAAATTAGAAAAAATGTTGCCAAGTTTTTTTAAAGATTTAGTGAGATTGTAGTGACTGACATCTGCACTTTTTGCACCAAACGTTAATCCCTTGACAGTTATTTAAACACGATCTTGTTTAAAGTCCTTCAAATTGTAAAATTTATAAAGAAATGAAAAAACAAAAAAAAAAGGGCAGTCATCAATAAATCATCAAAAGAAACATCAATACATATATAATCACCATAATTATAGACAAAAACCACAAAAAATATCAAAATTTATTAAATTAAAAAAAAAAAAATGAACTGAAAATTTCTGTAAAAGTGGATTGGTATCAGCGTTATGAAATCGTCAGTATTGGAGAGCATCTAAGTCAACATCGATGTTACAGCTGTATCAAAACCGTTAATCAGCATAGAGATTTTTTGACTGTAGTGTTATTCCTTGGAAATACTCTCGTTCTGGCTACGATTTCTGCTTCATTCAAGAAACTTGATACAGAGATAATTTAAAAAATGCACTTACTAATCAAAATTGCTTTTTTTAACGTAAGACTGTACTTTTTATCATACAAAAAATCTAAGAAAGAGGATCGGAAAAATAATTTGTGTACTTTAGTGGAAGCGTACCAAACCTGATATTTTATGATATTTCACTATATGTTGTCAAGACTTTTGCTAATTTTGTACAGTAGCTTTTAACCGATCTTGTACAATAGCTTTAAGAGTTTAACTTGTGACAGTTCGTGATAAGAGTTGTGCTTTAGATGATGTTCGAATTAAAACTTATAAATTGGATAATGAAAGAAAAAAAAAAAAACTGGTAACAAATAATTTACACCATTCTGCATTTTTTAGAAGAATTACATTTATTTCGTTAAAGTGAAGAAGTGACTCGGTTTTTGACATATTTCTGGACGGAATGGATTCCAATATTTGCATGGTTATCAAAAAGAAGAGGAGTAGAAAAAAATATATAATTTTCACTTCAACGATTTCCAAGTACAAAAGAAGATGTTTTAAAAATTTCAGAAATTCTATAAACTTTGTGGAGATTCTAGAATAAGTTCTAGTAGAAAACAATTAAGTTTTTCGCTTTCCATCAGACTAACCGAAATAACAGTAGAGATTTCTGGTTAGCATAGTTTTCCAGCACATAGGATTACTGCGATTATTTTAATGGCTGTATTCGGTATGATAGCAATACATGATACAGATAAATAATTCATGTAAATGAAAGAGCGAACTAACTGCAAATGAATTTTAGTGAAAATTAAGATGTAAATTAAATTTTTATGGACATTACTCGAAATAGTTCCTGAGCTTATGGTAGTGAAAACAGAATTTTTCTTGGCACAGATTGTGAACCCTGCATAACCATACAACTGAACTTTTTATCTACATCAATTAAACATACTTCAGATTAGCAGACTATCAGTGGATAAATTTGAAAATTTAGACCAAAAAAGCCACTTATATTACAGATTCTTAAAAAAAGGAAAAAAAATTTAACCAAATTTTGCGTTAAAAAATATCGTATCCGCTATCCAGTAGGTATAGAATTGCAGTGCTATCTTGAGGTGGTATTTTATCATCTAAAAATCTATCTGCTTGTTTATTTGCGAAGTTCAATTGAGCAAATGGTTTATCTTTATTAATGTGGACCACTTTGTAATAAAAACTATGATACAGGAAATTTGAAAATATCTGCCTAGATCTCTTAGGATGTTGGCAGAAGACTATTCTCTCCAGTATTATGATAAAATTTGGAAGGAAGTGATCGTTGAATGGTACATGTAGAAACCATAAAAATATGCCATGTTACCCTGAACTAATCGATATCGATCTGATGTGGCTGCAAACAATCTGCACAAATCATCGAATGTGCAGTTCTGCACAAACCAATGTGCAACTGCAGCAAAGTCAGTTTAATTTGAATTATGAGAAGATAAATTAGAGGTCGCTACGAATATTTCCAAAGTAACCTTAATAGACTATTATAATAGTCTATTATAATTTCTGTTTTGGAATATAATGCATACTAAAGTATGATGGGAAAAGGATCTATTATAAAAATATAGTCGATGCGTATTTTAATTCTCACCATTAATGTGATCTGATTTTGGTTTTCAACATAATTTATTTTGAGAGTAGATGATCGGTATCACTGGAATTTGCATGTTATTTAGGGATTTGAATTTCAATTCAAGAAATAACCTCATGAGACTAACGTTAAGTGTTTTTTGTAAAAACAATTTTTAAATCGAGTTGTTTAGAGATTACAAAACAAAAGTCCTCTTAGGTTTTTCAGAACAAAAAAAGGTTGAAAGCGACGTTGAAAGGACTTCACTTTTTGAGAGTTCTGTAGATTCCTTAATTTTTCAATTGTGATGGTTTTTGGTCATAACTGAAAGAAGCATTGATTCAGATCAGACTGTGGGAGTAGGAATGGCTTAATAATATGATTTGGTATTGCAATGATTATGACAGCAGTAATTGTAAATTAGTTGCAACTTACAATGAGTTATTATCTTAATTTTCGAATTAAAACATTACGAATAATCGTTCTACCAAGCTGATAAGATGAGTGGGAAAGAATTATTCCGAGTCGCTATGGTATTATCACGTTTTTGTACGTTATAAAAAATGCATACATAATAACAAGACGGCCCAAAAAAATTATTTACTCCATATTAATTTTTGGGTCTGACATTTTTTCTTCCTTTCTTTATCAAGCTAAATACTGAAAATTCGGCTAAGAAATATTCACGCAGCAGGTGCTTTTCAGCAATCGCAGCATCTTCATTATTGTCTGCGAATAGTATTCATTCTCCAAGATTTCAACATAAATTTCGCAAATAGTTTCCTCTTCTTTTTCTGCTTGAAAACCACAAAATTTTCTTTCTTACACAAAATCGAACCGGATAGTGAATGTTTGATGTTTACAAGTTTTAAGTACAACAAAGTTTACAATTGTGAAAATAAAGTTCATATATAAACTAACTCTGCTAAAGTAATAGAGAGTTCTAACGACTCTAATCTACACAAAATCAGTCTATTATAGATGCACAGAAATTTGGCGCAAATTTTAGTGGGAACAGAAAGGAATAAACTAGGTACAAACAGATTGCTTCGTTATAGGTTAATGCAATATGTAACAGCTCAATAACTGTCTTTTTCTCAATTACTGCATTGTTTTTTGAATGTTAAGCTAGACTACATTTAAAACTTTTATCAAAAAAAAAAAAAGATAATAAGAAATAATTTGAATGAGTATTAAATGCTCATTCAAAGAAAGCCAATTTCATAAACTTTCCTTATCCTTTTATCTTTTCACATAAATATGTGCTCTGTTGCAGTTTATTCTAGATTTATTTGAAATTGCTTGCTGTGGAGATATTTCAAATCGATAGAATCAATCTGTTATAGACCTATTAAATACAAAGCAACATATGGAAATATTCCAGAATTATAGAAAAGATTTGTATGAAATGATTTTTACACATTGAGGAAAAAGCGCTTTTATATCTATGAACTCGAAATGTTTCTGTAGTGAAATAAGAGTCGAAAATATCGGAAAGATGTCTCAAATATTGAGCAAATTAAAACTAATTTGCTTCCAAAAGTATTTTAAATCTTTCATAAAACAGGTATGAACCCCATGAAACAATTTATAATCAATTTTATGTAAATAACACTCGTTTGCAAAAAAGCTTTGGGAAAAACAGTATAAACTTTTATAGCAACTTAACTGTGCTTCTCACAGTTTGTGTAGTTAACAATGAATTCTTCTATAAATATAGGTCTTTCAGCTCATCAAAGATCGCAAATTTCGTATTTCCCTTCCTTAGGAACAATATAGAATTGTTCATAATAAATCAAAAAAACGTCCACTTATTCGATGTTGTACATCTGCTGGAGCTGAAACTTTGTAACACCGACCATGAAAGAAATCCTGATCAATAGTCAAAGCATTTGTTTAATCCATCTGTACATTAAACATTTCTAAATTGTTTGAATACTTTAAAATCGTCAGGTTAAATTTAGCTGCTTAAAGGCTTTCAGAAACATGCTTCTCCATAACTTAACTTCATCAAAGGTATAATGCTTCGCCATAACCTAACTTTATGAAAGGTATAATAACATATGCAGGTCCTCTTTTGGGAACAATAAAAAAATACAATGGTAGAAAAGTAATTTTTATAAATTTCATGCCTAAATCCAAAAAGTCTTGTAATCTTTGAAAGTTAATGCAAAGTCTTTCATCCAATGAAAATATGCTTGCCGTTCCAGCACTGAGCTAGTGAGATGTGGGAATTCTGCAGTTAAAGCAAAAAAAAAAAAATGTGGCGGAATCAAAAGCTGGTAGTGGAAAGAGCAATGAGAGAAACTAAATAACTAACTAGGCCTTACTTTATATTAGCAAATACATTGAAATAAACTGAGTGGGAAATATCACTGAAAATGTTAATTAAATTGGTGTAAACTTAGAATAGCTATGGGTAAAGTATGCACAGGAATGCAACCAAATTGAGTGATCGGAATTATTTCTTAAGATAAATACTATAACACACAATATGACGGACACGGAAAACTTCTCTAAAGAATAATCATGCAGCGAAATATAATCTTAAATAAGCGAAAATCATGTGAAATATGAGAAAA